TATCCTGTGTGTTCCAACATTTTTGCCTTTAGTTCTTTAATTGAGGTTTGTCCTGATTGTTCCTGATTATGCGAATTGTCTTGTTGTTCTTGTTGTTCTTATTGTTCTTATTGTTTTTGTTCCTCTAAGTCTCGCAATATCTGAATTTCTTGTTGATGTCGTTGAGTCGCCAGATGCTTGGAAAACTCATTGTTTTCCCTGACCAGGAAGAATAAACCATTATCGAACCATGAAATCAGAGACTCTTGTAAAATACGTTTTTCTTTTCAATATTGTCAAGTCTGTCTCAGATATCCTTGGAAGGAATTTAGCTTGAGCAACGAGGTATTTAGTATATAATAGCTGGCCCCTTGATCCGGTTGTTTGTGAAAAGACCATACCGCCATACACATCCTATGATCCAGACCTGTACAAGAGTTCACTGGCAGTATAGCGGTTGCTGTCAGCACACCTACCAAATCTTCCGAGGCCATAATCAAATCGATCGGGGAATTTGAGAGTCTATTTGGATCATTTCATCTGATACAGGTGAACGTTCTTTCTATTGGGTAACTTCGTCTGTATGTGTCGAATATTGAAGGGAGGAGCTTAGGTCCCCTAGCATGCTTTTGTCCTCTTCTGCATTGTGGGCAGTGGAGGGGTGAACTCTCCATCTATCCATCCCTCGATCAGGCGCCGCATTGTAGTCCCCTGCTAGTACTACCGGGATGCCAGGAGTGGGGACACTTTTAATCTGTTCGAAAAATTCTCTTCTCTCCCGAGAGGTGTTGGGTGCATAGAGGGAGACTATGCCGATCACCTCCACTTCGAGCATACCCAAGATTGACACCCAGCGACCCTCCTCCTCATCTTTACCCCAATATAGGACTTCAAAACGCGACTCGGGGGATCCAGATTGCCACCCCGGCCTGCCCCGGACTTGGGGCGAAGCTGTTGTAATGATAACGAGACTTCACAAAAACTTCAATAAAAGCGACCAAGCCGACAACAAGTCAACACAGGAGAAGAACTGATAACGATAAGACCAACCAAACGACATGAGAGGGGAGAGAGAGAGAGAGAGAGAAGGTGAGAGAAAACAAGTCAAGTATAGTAATCGCGAACGCAACGTTAAAATTAAGCATGAAGAACAATTCCGGATGCAAGCACCCGGTTGGCGAAGCGACCTGACCGCTTTCGGCTGGCCGCCAATGCCAGCACTCATTGGGGTCTGTCGGTACAGAACTAACCTGACTGATCCTATTTATGGATGGACTACAAGAAAAAGTCTAAAAGACTGACGATCTAGGTACTACCTAAGGCCTACGTTCATATTCTTGACAATTCTAGAAATTGTCTAGTTCTATAGTCCTAGAAACCGCCATCTTCAAGGTCACAAGTTCAAATATCATCCACCTCAGTAACAACCGGTCCTAAAAGAAAAACTCAATCGACAGACAACATCCCAACTGCGTCCGGAAAAACAAGTCCACATCGTCACTGATTCAAGTCCCAGCGAAAAAACCGGAAAAACAGTCAGTCCACCGTAACTCACCACACTTACGGACCAGAGATCAAACATCCAACCCACCGACGAAATTGAATACTCCACAAAGAAACAACTAACTACAGCGCATCCAAACACCACACTTTCCTATGCTCAAGGCCCCAGGGACCGACAGACTCTGTCCCAACCAGTCAACACAGGCAGCCAGTGTTGCTATATCCCACCAAATTTACGTGAAAAATTACTCAGAGCACAATCAAATACCTCATCAGGATAACATCGCTTCCACAGCTCAATCTTCAGGGTAAGGAAAAAGGGAAGCTCAGTGCCCGGAACAGTGGCAAAACGCCTAGCACGATACAAAAAGGAGGATACGACCGCGACCTTCTGCTGCTTGCTCGAGAACGAACATTAGTCTTGGATGCTCTGAAACACCAAACTTTCCTTCACAGACACACGCTGATTTTTATGGCAGGGGAAACACGCCACCTCGCTTGTCTTATTAAAAATTCTCAACACGCAGCCAAGGAACTCCCAGCAATCTCTGATATTAGTCTGCTCTAATACCAAATTATTATCATAATTGTTCTGAAATTTCCCCAAAATCTGCAAAGCCCGACTCAACGAAGCTTCATCCTGCTTCTGGTACCTTACAAACACCGACACATCGTCAACAAGTCGAAAACCCTGAAACAGCACCCTATCCGACCCCAAAGACGAGAGGAAGAGAAACTCATTGTACGTACATAGAAGGCACTTCAAGGCTGGGCTAGAAGACTTGCGCATCGGTATACCAACACTCTGTTGTAACAGCCGGCCGGCAGCCATTACGTAAGTATTCCGCAGCTCAAAATCGACAAACTTAAACAACAAACGAAATTTCAAAACAATCCACCCTTCCTCCCCTCGCTTCTTAACAATTCTAGCCCGCTTCCCTCGCCTCTTGACTGCCACCGCAGTGTACTCCCGACTTTCCCAAAAATCAATAACCCATGAAACCGTCTGCAGGATGGAAGGGTGGGGGAGATTTGAAAACATTTCTTTTACATCATACGATGCCCCCACCAAACCATCATTTTTCTTACCATTCTTATTGACATTCCTAATACCAGCCACGAGGTCCTCCGTGCACCGCAAATTCAAATTGGAACCTTCTGGTAGACTCCACAACATGCAGTTCACGGCTTTCGAAACCAACTTGCCACCGACAGTAGAACATTCCGGGTATGAGGGGCAAATAGGTCGCCACCGTTTAGTGTCTTTAAACTTCGGTATACAGTACGCTCGTCCAAACTCACCGTTTGTCTTCCATTTGCCCACAGTTTCCAAGCCCTCATGCTTATAGGAGGCAGCTAGATCTTCCAACACCTTCCGTTCTCCACTTTCATTCGTTAGGAACGCCGGATTTTGTAGAAACAACGTCTCCATCCCAGACCGATAAACCACGGGGCAGCACACGTACGTATCCCCCATGTTGTGATCCAGGGGGCAACATACCAATTTCCGCAAGGAATTAAGAAGAGGTTGGACATCATCCTCATTGAACGTAGGGACAGAGGGAGATAGATTATTACCCAAACAGAAACACGACTGAAGATCATCAAACACTGGAGAGGAAGATTCGAGAGGAGGAAGGGAAGAATGGGAGTGGAAAGCTTCTATAACTTGCCTTTTGAGGGTAGCTTACGAAAAACGACGAGAGAGTCTAAGAATATTCTTACTGTTCTTCAACCATGTAGGAAAGTAGTCCAACTCTGAAATTTTAAACGACACGTGCCCATTACTAGTGGGGAAGTCACCCTCGATCGACTTACAACAACATATAACGTCACTGTCTCTAGCATGCTTGCGAAAATTATGCAAGTACTCACCGACTTTGCGATTACGAACCCACACAACGCGTAAACGCCTAATCAAGACCTCCTTCCACACCGTCGGGATAGCCAACCCCTGTACCAGCCGGGCACAAGTCCTTCTTACTCCCGATTTCCTAATACAATCATCGTATACCGACTTGACAACCAGCCGTTCATGAACTTGGACCCCAAATCTTGTCGAGATACTCCTAGAGAGAATACAACGCAAACGCCCTCGTGTTCGTTTCTCGCTGAACGTACGTACTGCCGTAAACGCCACGACCAAGGACTCAAATGTCCAAGACCGAAGAAAGACACGAGAAGACGGAGAGCTAAGTAGGTGGAGGAAAGTTGGCTTAAGGGCCAGCGATTTACTTAAGAAGGGAATAACAGACTCAACAAAGATAGTGACACCAGCTTTAATCCATCCCCGAGCATGCTGAAACAGACCTCGTCCAAAAGAACACGACACAATAGAACCCCCATACACACGACGCAGCACCTTCCATGGGTCAATAAACAACTCCCCACCCCGACATGTAAGAGCAAATCGGTATATAGACTTCTCCCGACATTCTTCAAGAATCGAAAGAAGACTGCTCGAACACCCACCAAAACTTGGAAAAAAGGTTATCAACGGCTTATTTTCTGAAAACGTAGAAATCGCCAAATATTGCTTGCGTTTAGATTTCCTCAGTCTCTCCCTTAGGCCGGGACGTGATCGTTTCGATCTCCTAGCTTTATCCCTGGTGTTTAACGATGGAGAAAATAATCGTATGAAAAGTTTTTCACATGCCCTCACATCATCTTCCGTAGACACACATAACGGGATAGCAACATATTTATGAGCTCCACACCTACGCAACCATCTATACAACCTTTCATTCCTACGTCCTTGACCAATCACCTCAGCATTACACGCTCTATACACGTGCTCTCCCCAACGCGTATGCAAGTCACGAGTAGTACTACCGATATACAATTGACGGCACCATGGAGAAAACAACGCATACACCAAAGGTCCATTCGCAGCCTCAAAGTCAAACTTGCTCAACCGAAGAAGGAAACAACCCAACTTCACACCCCAAGGTATCTGCCCCGATACTATCAATACCAAAACCGTCAAACACAGGAGGGTATTAAGCGAATTACACCGAATAAATTCAACAGACGTTAATCTGAGTTGAACACAACAGTGCAATAAATTCCAAAGCCACGCCGCGTCCGGGAGCGAAATCACGAAGTGGTTGAGTCATCGTTGGCCTTGGTACTGTCGTTAGTACCCTGCTCGGTCTCCTCGGTAACCTCGTGAATCAGCACCCCACCTTTCTTCACTGTCCCACCTCGATCTTTACCGAAAGTTACATCAGCACACTTAAGCGCCAACTCCTCCTTGGCCTTATCCAACGTAGAATAGGTGACCCCCTCCTTCTCATATAACGTGACAACCTTATCTTTCTTTAACGGCCTCAGCGTACGTCTGGTCTCTAACAAGAAAGCATCCCGATCAGTAGCCTCCACAACCTGCGTAGCAGGACTCATCGGCCGCTTCCCTTTGTCCATTGTCGCCATGGCCACCTTGTCCAATCGTGCTTTGAGGTTAGAAGTCGTCGGTGTACGCCTCACCACCTCTAGCCGAGCCATTTTCTCTTTCAAACGTTCAACTTGCTGTTTCGCCTCCCTTCGCCCGTTCAGTTCACATAGCCGCCACTCTTTTAGTAGCTCAATTTCCCGCTCCTAGTGTTCGACATTCTCCTTCAACTTCAAGTCTTCTGCGGATGGTGACGGAAACGGAGTTGTCCGGGCGCGAGTCCTCGTCCCGGGGACGGGAGTAGCAGTGACCACCACGCTCCCTCGCTTATTGCCTGGTCGGAGCGCTTCTTGCTTCCAGACATCCGCCGCAGCGACCACTTTATCGTTCACCACCCGCAACCTCGCAATCTCATCCTCCATGGCGGCGAGCCGTCGGTCGGACTTCGCCCTTTCTTCCTCTAACTCACGCTTATATCGATCAAAAACACTTTCTGAAGACGACGCCCCGTTACCCTCGCGCAAAGTCTTCCGTAAGTTCTCAATCTCCAGGCGCATCTTCGTAACCTCATCGTCTTTATCTCCTTTCTTGCTCTCCAACAATTCGCGAACGGAATCCAAATTCCCACTTAGTTCATTTCTCATCTCCGCCTGAAATTCTTCTCGTGCCTTCTTCTCTTGCAACCTACGCTCCTCCTCTTCTTTTTCTTTCTTAATTCGTTCTTCTTCTTCTCTTTTGCTCTTTTCTTTTGCAATCTCAGCATCCTGGTGTGCCTTGATCCCGGCAATCGTAACCTCAAGAATCTCAACACGTGGCCGCAAACCACCTCCATAGCCGTAGCCTTACCCACCATATGCTCCAGAGTTACCAACCATCGGTAAACTATGCGCAGGATTGCTAGGCACCATCACAATCGCGGAACTCGTGTTGACAGGAGCAACAACAGGGGTAGCAACGAACGTAAATCACCTATCAGGTAAGGGGCAGAAACGAAACAGGTGCCTATGTTGCCCACAATTATAACACGTCCGTACTCCTGACGGCTGACCATCGCTTTGAGCCATAATACTCCACTGAAGTGCTGAAACGAAGCCACTCGTACGTAGTACTGCTTCTACGATGGTTACCCCGGAAAAAGAAGCTGTTGTAATGACAACGAGACTTCACAGAAACTTCAATGAAAGCGACCAAGCCGACAACAAGTGAACACAGGAGAAGAACTGATAACGATAAGACAAACCAAACGATATGAGAGGGGAGAGAGAGAGAGAGAGAAGGTGAGAGAAAACAAGTCAAGTATAGTAATCCCGAACGCAACGTTAAAATTAAGTGTGAAGAACAATTCCGGATGCAAGCACCCGGTTGGCGAAGCGACCCGACCGGTTTCGGCTGGCCGCCAATGCCAGCACTCATCAGGGGTCTGTTGGTACAAAATTAACCTAACTGATCCTATTTATGGATGGACCATAAGAAAAAGTCTAAAAGACTGACGACCTAGGTACTACCTAAGGCCTACGTTCATATTCTTGAAAATTCTAGAAATGGTCTTAGTTCTATAGTCCTAGAAACCGCCATCTTCAAGGTCACAAGTTCAAATATCGTCCACCTCAGTAACAGCCGGTCCTAAAAGAAAAACTCAACCGACAGACAACATCCCAACTGCGTCCGGAAAAACAAGTCCACATCGTCAGTGGTTCAAGTCCCACAGAAAAAATCGGAAAAACAGTCAGTCCACCAGTAACTCACCACACTTACGGACCAGAGATCAAACATCCAACCCAGCGACGAAATTGAATACTCCACAAAGAAACAACTAACTATAGCGCATCCAAACACCACACTATCCTATGCTCAAGGCCCCAGGGACCGACAGACTCTGTCCCAACCAGTCAACATAGGCAGCCAGTGTTGCCATATCGGGGCGAAGGCCTGATAGCTCTGGAATGACCATACCTGCTTTTGTGCCCTGTGGTGCTCCGGCTGATCCATTAAGTGAGTCTCTTGGACGCATATCACGTCCGACCATTTCTTCCCCCCAACTCCCCTCATAAGGTCCCATAGAGCTTGAGTTTTTTCTTGGCAAGGATTCGGATCTCACAAATGCCGGAGGAGGTCATCCCCATCTGCTTACTTTTTCCAGATGATCTCATAATTATGGTAGAAGCCACACACAACAATCTGGAGGAAATTCAGAAATTGATGGAACGATTTACAATAGTCTCTGATATGGTAGTGAACTGGGGGTAAAAGACACAAGAATGGTGGATTCACTACCAAGGGGTGCACCCTCCAGACTCACCACAAGTTGAATGGAGACCTCGATGGAACCATCAGTAGCAGATATGCATCGACATACAGAATCAGATCATGGTATACCTAGACCAGCTAAGCAGAACTGAGTGAGGTCAGGTGACATAATTACTCCCGGGTAGTTTGTTGAGGATTCCCGACCTCAAGATTTCATGCTTGAATAAAGGATCCTCTACCTTTCCCCAAAAAAACAATAAATAAAAAAAATCCCCATTTCAAGAGTGGTGTAGCAAAGGCCCGAAGTCTGGATGACCACAAAGTGCGTGGAGATATGGTCTGAGACCATTGTCTTTTCTCTTTTTTTTTTTTTTTTTTCTTTTTGTTCCTTGCAGTGGTGAGGCTTTGCAAATGATTCTTTCTTTTTTGGGTAATTACGCCGTGGTGACAAAAACAGTTTGAAATTGCACTTCAGCCATTCCCCTGAACGTACGACACCCCCTCTTGACCATACTGGACTGGAAAGCTAGCTTGTATGCATTTGACATTTTCAGGCGAAATGCCTGAAGTGCAATTTGAAACTGTTTTTGTGACCACTGTGTAGTTTCCCCCCTTTTTTTTCCCTTTTAAGTTAGGGCTGTCCTGGAGATATCTGGAGCTGACCACACTGGCCTAGCTTAGTTGGCAGTACTTGGTACACCCCTGAACTGTTGACATACAGACCTGAGTTTTTCTCTTTTTTTTTTTGGGCGGGGAATAAACCTTGGTTCTTGTAGCTTAGCCTGCCGGTTCGAGGCCATGCGTCCATGGTGGGGCCTGAAGCCCTAAAGTACGCATCAGAATCTACAGTGAAGGCGCCCGTTGAACCCACCGGAAGTTTGTGACAAACCACTTCCCAACCCCGTGCCATCTTTCGTACCCCTTCTTTTGCCTGTATCATACCAACCCTAGGAAAACCCCGTTTTGAGTTTTTGCTTTCGGGTGCCGCATTTTCCTTTTTTAAGAGCTTTTTCGACTGCTGAGTTCTGTTTTTCTTCTTGCAAAGTCGGGAAATACATGGGAATTTACGTGCGCCTTAGCGCCGCCTTAGCGAGCGCACTGGGAATTGGGCTCGGTAGTTGGGAATTCCGGGATAAGCGGAACTTCGACGTGTCCTTTTTGGGTGTGTGAATATTCTTGGGCGCGTCGGGGAAAACTCTCGGAATTTTGCGTGAATACGAATAGGCGTAGGATTTTCTTCTCCCGCGTCACTTTTTCGTGCGCGGATATGGTGATTTCAATTTTGAATTAGGATAGAAGCCAGTTGTAACTGTTTCGGTACCTTTTTCGTTTTTTGTTGACGGCGCCGTGCATGCAAAAGCTTCCTCCTCTCTGTCCCCCGCATCGCTCCCTCCCGCGCCTCCCTTCCCTTCTCCCTCCATTTTCTCTCTCCCCGTAATTGTCTTTCCTTGTCCATCTCTCTCTCTCCCGCTTTGCTTTCGCGCGCCCATCTCCCTTTCTTGATCATCTGAATCTTGGACCCGTCTTGCGCCACCTCTCGCGCCTTTTCTCTTCTCACCCTCTAAGTCTGGCGTACGACGCCCGGTCGATCCCCTGACAACTCCCGCTCGCCAATCAGGTGCGTGGATCGATACGACCTTCCTATCGCGCGATGAATCTGATTGGTTGAACCTTGAGTTCCGAGGGATCAGCATGAGCACTCTTCTCAAAGTCTTCTCCTCCTTCTTCTCCTCTTACACCTCAACTTTCTTGTCGCCTTCTCCCCCTTCTATCTCCCATGTCGCAACTATAAAACCCGCAAGCGCGTCCGCAAATCTCTCTTACGTTCTTGACTCCTAAGCCAGCTTCCGGGAAGCAGTGGCTAGGCAGAGTGGATTGATGCGAGTCGGAAAGTCCTGTCAGGTTGAAGATAGGCTGGCCGATTGCGCGCTTGATCGCCACGAGCGACTGTGGGATCCGGGCGAACAGTGTCGAGTTTACGACAGCGGGGTGACGATCACAGTGGTGGGAGTTAGCACGCGACGACCGGGATCGTCGGTGCGGGCATGAGGTTCGATGATTGGAGTTGAGTGAGTGATTGGCCCGGGGCCATAGTGGAATTAACGGCGAATGCGCCTTTGTTGTGGATTGTTATCCTTGGCTTGAGTGTAAGGCGGCGGCGCCGAACTTTTCTCTTCTCGGACCTTGTCGTCTTCTATTTTGACTCTCTCTCTCTCTCTCTCTCTCTCTCTCTCTCTCTCTCTCTCTCTCTCTCTCTCT